CATACGACACTCCTGTTACTACACCCCATAATGATATTAGCTTTGTTCACAGCTGCAGGGCCGCTGCATCCACTAGGCAAACTAGGCAGCCGCCTAGGGCGCCAAGATTTGAAGGTGCCAAAAAGCGGTGCCCAAAATGTCTGGGATGCTCACCCGGCGCCGGCTAAATGTGTAACCCTCTTTGATCAGCTCCGGCCGGCCGGGAAGTGATGTCATTCCTCCTCTGGCCGCCGGGGGCGCTGTGTTGCTCCCTGCTGCTCTGGCTCTTCCCCAGGGCCCAGCCCCTGCTCAGCCCCGCCCTGCCCCCACTCCCCTGAGCTCTGCAGCAGACACCCGGCCCCAGCCATGCCGCCGGCGAGTGCTGGGGGGTAGTTTCCCCCTGCCCCCCAAGCCAGCCCCGGCCCCCCGAAGGCCTGCCCCCCCAATGGAAGCCGGGCCTCCCCCCCGCTCCCGCCTCCCCCACGGAGGCCTGGGGCACCCCCCCACGCGGGGGGGGCTGCGTAGGGCCCAAGAATATCTAGGGATGGCCCTGGTACCTGCCACCCTGCCCTCAGCTAGCCCCAGACCCCCTGTCTCCAGCCAACCCCACACCCCATCTCCAACCAGCTACGCATCCCCTGCCCGAAGCCAGCCAGCCCCACACCCCCTGCCCTGCCTGCAGCCAGCCCCGCACCCCCTACCTCCAGCCAGTCCCTCTTCCATCCAACCCCTGCAGCACCCCCCTCCCTGAAGCCAGCCAGCCCCGCACTCCCCTGTCTCCAGCCAGCCCCTGCCGCACCCCCGTGCCCGAAGCCAGCCAGCCCCACACCCCCGTCTCCAGCCAACCCCGCACCCCATCTCCAACCAGCTCCGCATCCCCTGCCCTGCCCGAAACCAGCCAGCCCCACACACCCCTGTCTCCAGCCAACCCCTGCCGCACCCCCCTGCCCCAAGCCAGCCAGCCCCACACCCTGTCAGGTTATTCATTTATTTTCATTAAATATGTAATCTAAATAATGAAAATAATAAATTTTCAAGCCGAATATGTATTAATTCTAATGAACAATGCCATATTATGCAGTATTCATTTTTGAAAGTTTATAATAAGTGATGCTCTGAGGGGAGGGGTGGGGGTGGGAGGCGCAAGGTGGAAGTTTCGCCTAGGGCGCAAAATATCCTTGCACCGGCCCTGCACAGCTGCATCACATTGGTGATTCATATTCAATTTGTGATTCACTATCACGCCCAGATCCGTTTCAGCAGTATGACCACCCAGCCTAGACAACTCCAATCCAAGCATCCCTTGGTAATGCAATATGATATGGATACAATGTGAGCACCCTCTGTGAAATTAGACAGTGGCTTCACACCCATTCCAAGCAGCCAGGTGTTCCACCACAAAAACCACCCTCTGAGTTGGTACTAACTGGACCTACTGTTGTCAAGGCAGTAGCCATGGTCCGAGTGGGCAAAGGGAGTGAAATCCCTTCTCTCTCCTTGAGATGGAGCCTGCAGATTGGTGTTGAGGCATGGTTACAGGGCAGAGTGAAGGAAACGGCATCTAGAGAGGTCTTTGGTTTCCAGAGTTGTCAATCTGGGCCTCTCCGGATGGAACTCCATTCCAACATTTAAAAAGAAAGGGTGGTGCAGAAAGAAGTGGTGCGTAGAGGCAATGCAAGCGCTCCTGCGTTTTTGTTTATGCAAGTGTTGCTGTAGCTGTGTGACAAAGAGAGAATTCTCTTAATGTTTTGTTTGAATATTCTCTGTGTGTCTCAGTTTTCCTTATGTGTTGCACAAGTATCTATTCTAGGTGGTGGGACAAAGGTGTGTGATCGTTGCAGAGACCCTAGAGGGCAGGTGTGACTGCTGTCTAGCTCCCTGGGCCCAGACAATAGCTGGGCACTCTGTATCGTGGCAACTGATGGCCAGGGCCCATCCTCTGCAACAGCCAGCCGGAGGATTTGGAGAACAAAGAGGCGGAGGCCAGGAGCAACAGGGCATGACTGAGGGTGGGCTGCTGGAAGCAAGTCAGGCTCCTGGTTTGAGACTCAGGGAGCAGAGCCCATGGCTCTGAGTTCTGGATCCCCCCAGACGGTCTTTGCTGAATGCCCCTACTTTCTGTGCTAACAAGCTCTGTTCTACGCTGTGTTCCAGACGACTAATAAACCTTCTGTTTTATACGCTGGCTGGGAGTCACTGCTGACTGCAGCGTGGGGGTGCATGGCCCTGCTGGGGGGAGAGGGCATGTAAGGCTTCCCCAGGTGTCCCATCCAGTGGGACTCCCTGCGGGGAGCTCCCGGCGTGAACAGGGGTGCTGAACGCTCCGAGGGCAGACCCGGGAGGCGCTGAAGCAAAGGAGGCTGCCCTAGTGAGAGTGAGCCGTGAGGGGAATCACACTACAAAACGGTCCTGTCTGAGCTCCATTCCGAGCGGCTCCAGAGCACCGAGCCTGTGCGCCCGTGGCGTAGCTAGGAGTGGAAATTTGGGTGGGCTCTGACTTTCGGGTGGACGGGCAATGCCAGACTGTGCTATCCACTGACCATGCCCACTGGCTGTGCAGCCTGTCCAGGGAGTGCTGATCCCCTCGGCTGTGCCCTGACTCTGCAGCGGGGGAAGAGAGGGTGCTGTTGCCTCATTGCGGGGTATGGGCTGCTGCCCTTCAGCTGGGGGCTCGCATCTCCTGCAGGCCGTATGGCCCCTGTGCGAGGTCGCCTCTGGCTGCGCTGCAGGGGTATGAACAGGGGCTTGCCTGTGCACACAGCTTGGCCCAGACTCTTACTGAATTGCCCAGCAAAGTGCATCCTCTCCTGGGAACACTGCAGAGAGACCGGCCTCACTCCTGCCTCCAGCCGTGCAGAGGATGAGCCGTGCGGAGAGCGCCACAGGGCAACGGGCAGCCCCCGAGCACCTGCTAGTTCAGCTTCTCCCTCGATGCCACACCCTCTTCCTAGCCTTGGGTGCCCCCAGACACAGGGCTTCACCTCCCAAGCTGGGCACGCGCATGGGGCGGCTCAGAAAATGACAAGGCAGAGCTGCCAGAGGATGGCTTTCTGAAGGGCGGGTGCATAGCTCCGCCCTGGATTTCAGGTGCCCGAGTGACACTCCAGGGACTATACCCCTGCTCAGATTTGGGTGGGCCATGGCCTACCCATTCCCACCCGTGGCTATGCCCCTGTTGTGCACCCATGACACCTAGCACACCTGCATTCCAGCTCTGGCCTTTGATGGCCGCCTCGTCTCCTGGAGAAGGGTTAGGTTCTCTGTCCAGGCTCTCTCTGGGTTGTGCTGGCCTGTCATTGTCTCCTAGTTACTCCTTGGAAGCCTCAGCTGGCTCTGGCAGCTCTCTGCCCCCTGGTGGTTCTTCCTGTGAGTCTGAGGCTTGTGCTGGGGGAGGGGAAGGCGACTATGTGGGTTGGGGGATAAGGGCGCATCTTCCCCTCTCTGGCCCCACGAAGAACCATCAGAAAAAGGAAGAAAGCCCCAGGTTACATTAACTTCTCTGCAGCCTCTCCCCTGAGGATTGGGAAGCTGCTCCTCTCAGGGTGGGGGCAATGCAGCCCCTATGCCAGAGACAACAGGGGCCCGGCTGGTGCAGAAAATCAGCAAAGTTTATGGGTAGCGCCTTTTCTATTGCTTGGGAGGATCTTCATGAGGAAACCCTCTCAGACGTCTGCTTCCAAAGCCCCCTCCCACGAGTGCTAATGTGTGTGTGTGAGCTGTCCCCTTGTCAGCACATCTTTGCAGCAATACACAAACATTAGTCCTGTCAGTACCCCATTTCATAGATGGGGAGACTGAGGCAGAGAAGTCCAGCTCCGTACACATGGTTAACAAGTGTCAGAAGCAGGACTGGAAGGCCGAAGGTGCTGGTTCCTGCTAGCCCATACTGCCTCGCAACATTTCATTGCAAGCACAATGGAAATGAGATTCAGTTCACTGTGGGCCTTATTCCTTCGCCCAAGTGAGAGAATGAAGAACAAACCCCTGTGATCTGGCAATAAGCAGCTCTTTGAATAAGGCCCCTATCAGAGTCACGGCTTTGTCTGTGCTGTCGGGAGGATCAGGTCATGAGAGCAGGGCAACAAGAAGAAAGTTGCAGTGCTTGATGTCAACTTTTGTCCTGCAGGCAGAGTCTTTTTATAACATGGCTCTGCGCTGAGTCTAGATTCATTCCTGCAAGTCTGCCGACTGCCACAGAGAACATACATGCAGGAGGGTCACTTTGGGGTGCGGGGGTACTGAAAGGTTCTTCTCCTTCAGGGGTGGTGGAACCCAGCAAGGAGTCGAGCTTTCGGTTCTACAGTAAAGCAAAACCAAACTCCTTCCCTGCACTCCAGGGGTGGGCGGCTAGGGCGCAGGGCTCTGATAAGACAGCAAGGTCTGATAAGGACTGCACGTGGCACCATCATCGGACGCAACTTCCCTCCCACTCACTGCCAGAGTAAACGAGTAAGAGTTGAGTTTGCCTGGCTCAGACACAGCTGGCTCGGATTCCCGTCCCCAAATTGTGCCCTCAGCCTCGCTTCTAAAAGCATTAAGCCGGAACTAGAGTTTGCTTTATTTTTAAGACATCTAATTAACTCTTAAGCAGTAAAATCTCAAGAAAGCCTCCACAGGGTCAGTTACATTTCTGGCTGTTCTAACATGTGGTTGCACAGCACCTTGTGATTAACACAAAGGAACTTTTACAGGGACTGACAGCCTGATTTTCAGAGCACCCACAGCTCCCCTCTACTCCAAATGAGTCTGTGGCTGTGACTGTGGTTAGTAAAGTGACCATTAGCACAGATTTCACCACCCTGTGCAAGTGCCATAGAAAGATATGGTGCTCAAAAGTTAGTAATCTGTTCTAAACAATGAACAGATGCTTCTCCTGAAGAGCAAACCAGTCTATAGGCATCAGGGAAAGTAAGATACAAGACAGGGCGTATGCAGAATGGAGTGACAGCTGGGATGCGACAACACCAGCCGTATTCTGAAATCATAATGTTTTGTCATCCGCCAATGAGCTTCCCACTTACTGTGAATTTCCAGAGCCCTCCGATGTCATCACTTCTCTCGAAGCAGGTGGGCTCCAATCCCTCGTCCAGACAGCACTTAATGGAGGCCAGTCCACTCACGCCAGCTCCAATGATTGCCACTCTCTGTACCATGGTCTCCTGCGGCAGAGAAGGAGCACACCTCTTCAGTGCATAGAGCTGTCGGCGAGCAGAAACCACAGCATTTCAGCAGAATGGCTTAGAACTTTATTAGAGAAGACTAGGCCACCTTTATGGACAGAAATATCGCACACATGCTCACTCTCTCTATAAATATAGTGGTAGCTTGTTCTGATTCCTATTAACACTCAGTGATGTGAAACAGATCCAGCTGCAATAAGGGAATGAAATGGAGCTGATTGATTGCCCAAGATCTGCAGGAATGTTAAACTCACAGTTGTCAGCTGTCCACTCTGCATTTCAGTTTCACAATCACTTTAGCCATTTCTCTCTTTTTAGCCTACCAAAGCGATGTCCCGCTTTCCCCATTACCTTTGCTCCTTCTCTTCTCCAGCCCAGTCCCTGATGCCTGTGAGTGGGTTTCAGGCAGGCACGGGGGAAACAAATGCCTTTCCTGGAACCTATTATTTTGAGAAAAGCAACTGAAATGTGGGAGGAGTTTCCCTTAAAGAGCAAGCCACTTTTACGCACCATGTCACAGGGGGCAGGCCTCGCTGGCAGGGCTGTGTAAGGATGTGTCTGTACAAGTATTGGTGGTGATTTTTGGAGCTTAGCATCCCTGGAGTGGAAAGCGAGGAGGAGCTGGGAGATTTGAGCTCTCTGCTTCAGAAATAAATTGTCTAGGTGATGCTATTCCAGACAGCACCTGGGGTCATTGGGCAGTGGTGACCAACCCTGATTCCCATCCGGATATAGCATGACAGTGATTCCCTAAATGCCCTTCCCTTCCATGTCCCACTTGGCTCTGACTCCACTTTCCAGCCCACGCAGAGGGGTCCCTAGAAGCCACAGACCCTGCAAACAGGCTGGAGATAGGGTTAGATCACATCCTCAGAGTTGCGGTAACAGCAGGGAGAGAAAGGCTAGTGCCAGGGAGCACTAGGAATACATGGAAGTGGGGTGGTCTGGTCATGTTCTGAGAGGAAGCGGGATGGGGCTCAGCATCTGGGGAACCTAAACCACCCATTCACCCAAGGACAATTTTTTAGAAGGCTTCTTATATGCCGTCTGTCTGGTCCCCACTGTCCCGCCAGCTGCCGGTTCTTCCCAGAATGGTGGAGTCACAATACCTCCGTTAGTTCTTGCCATGTTGTCAATGCAAAGCGGTCATTAGGAGTGTGCTACTCCTCATTTCAGCCCTAGAGAGGGATTGTTGGGACACCAGTGATGATTCTAGTCCTGGTTTGCACACAGCACAAACCCCACCAGCAGCGAAACGGGTGTATATTCACTTGTCAGCCTGTGCTAAGGAAAGCTGAGGTATGTAGTGAAACCCTATTTGTACACTCTTCAGGGTGTCTGGCTCGTCCAGATTTTCCACATGCCTTCCTCTGGTTCAGAGTGTGCAGGCACTTCCTTCTGACCAGCCACAAGCTAGGCACAGAGTCCCCTCGCCGGCGAGTGCTAGACCTAAACAAACCCATAAGTCATTGCCTAGAGATTGCACAATGCTGGAGCTGCATGAATAATCCACGGCAAGTAACTTGTTGTGTGCAGCTGGTTAGCTGGTTAGCAGCAGACAAGAAGAAGTTGTGTTGGTTATTCAAAAGCCAGGACTGACCCGGCATATTCTTGAGGGCCACTGACTGGCCCTTCATCTGTTCATATGGATACAAACATGGAGCACCCACCACATGATGTAACTGGCACATTCAGCCTCATTCGCTGTTCACGGGTGGTCTGGGATCAGTTTGCCATTTTTCTGATGTGGCTATTTATTGGAAATTATTCACGTAATCAGAGAGCCGAAGGACAATCGTACACAGGGGCAAGTCAGGAAGATCAATGGGACTTAAACCAGGAGAGCAGAGAACCAGCACAGTGGCTGGTGGGACAGAATGTGCAATGGACAAGGGGAGAAAAATCATTAGGTGTCATCAGGGACCACGGGTCCCAAACCCTGGTCCACAGGGCTCTGAGGTAGCCGGTCAGAACTTATTGGCTCCTAGAGACCTGGTAACAGTTGCCAGAATGAGAAGCTCAACCCTGACAGAGGACTCCAGACCTGGGCTCTCATTGGTGGAACTCCAGGAGTCCTGATTGGTTCCCTGCTCCTATTGAAACCAAGCAGAGGAGCAGGAAATTGTCTGTGCAATTGGATTTCTCCTTCTCAGGGCTGCATCCACTGTGTTACCTGCCCCTACTGGGTCAGCCTGCCCACGTCCCAGTCATGACAGCTATGGAAAAGAGGGCAGAGTAAAGCACATGGATGCATGTTGCCCAGATAGCCTATTACATATTTGTATTACAGCAACACCTGGAGCTTCAGAAGAGTTTGGGGTTCAGTTGTGCTAGGCACTGTACATGTATAGGGTGTATATCTACACTGCATGCTTCTTTCAGTGGTGTGTAATGTACATACATGCATAGCCTCCAGCAGGAAAAGCCTCTGGCAGCAGGGATGGAGCCTTTCCCTGCTGCCTTCCTCTGCCAGAGCCTTTCATTGACACTTGTAGCTACATACTATAGCATGGACGCAACCTGCTTTTCACCACGGTGCATAGCTATACGTACCTTACACGTCATCGTCAGTGGTGCATAGTGAAGACGTGGCCACAGTTAGGCAGTCCCTATCCCAAATAGTTTACAGTCTTAGACTGGACAAAGGGTGCAGAGAGAAACTGAGTGACAAAGAAGCAAAGTGATTTGCCCAAGGTCACATAGCCAGGCAGTGGCAGAGATGGGAATGTTGTTTAACCCCACAGTTTGAAGTGCTGCTACATAAGAGTATTCCCACAGTATTCTTGCCGGCAAGTTAAAGAAGTATGGGCTGGAAGAATGGACTATAAGGTGAATAGAAAGCTGGCTAGATTATCGAGCTCAACAGGTAGTGATCAATGGCTCCATGTCTAGTTGGCAGACGGTATCAAGTGTAGTGCCTCAAGGGTCGGTCCTGGGGCTGGTTTTGTTCAATATCTTCATTAATGATCTGCAGAATGGCATGGACTGCACCCTCAGCAAGTTTGCAGATGATACTAAACTGGGATGAGTGGTAGATACGCTGGAGGGTAGGGATAGGATACAGAGGAACCTAGACAAATTAGAGGATTGGGCCAAAAGAAATCTGATGAGGTTCAACAAGGACAAGTGCAGAGTCCTGCACTTAGGACGGAAGAATCCCATGCACTGCTACAGGCTAGGGACCGAATGGCTAGGCAGCAATTCTGCAGAAAAGGACATAGGGGTTACAGTGGAGGAGAAGCTGGATATGAGTCAACAGTGTGTCCTCATTGCCAAGAAGGCTAATGGCATTTTGGACTGTATAAGTAGGGGCATTGCCAGCAGATCGAGGGACGTGATCATTCCCCTCTATTCAGCATTGGTGAGGCCTCATCTGGAATACTGTGTCCAGTTTTGGGCCCCCCACTAGAAGAAGGATGTGGAAAAATTGGAAAGAGTCCAGCGGAGGGCAACAAAAATGATTAGGGGGCTGGAGCACATGACTTATGAGGAGAGGCTGAGGGAACTGGGATTGTTTAGTCTGCAGAAGAGAAGAAAGAGGGGGGATTTGATAGCTGCTTTCAACTACCTGAAAGGAGGTTCCAAAGAGGATGGATCTAGACTGTTCTCAGTGGTACCAGATGACAGAACAAGGAGTAATGGTCTCAAGTTGCAGTGGGGGAGGTTTAGGTTGGATATTAGGAAAAACGTTTTCACTAGGAGGGTGGTGAAGCACTGGAATGGGTTACCTAGGGAGGTGGTGGAATCCCCTTCCTGAGAGGTTTTTAAGGTCAGGCTTGACAAAGCCCTGGCTGGGATGATTTAGTTGGGGATTGGTCCTGCTTTGAGCAGGGGGTTGGACTAGATGACCTCCTGAAGTCCCTTCCAACCCTGATATTCTATGATAACCCTCACTCCTTTCCACCTTGGAATATAAAGGTGCAGTTTCCAAGAGGGTGTGATCTTGGGTTATGAAAAATGGGTGGTGCATCTAACCAAATGTGTCCATTGGTTTTGGATTCTGGTCACAAGTTGGCAGCACAGAGCAAAACAGTTACCGCTAACTGCTTCCATGCATGTGGGACACGGACTAGCTGACTTCTGGTTGGCCCTTCCAGCCCCACTTTTCTATGACAGGGTCCGGCCCACAGTGTCAAACACCGCATACAAGAAAGAAGAATCAAATACAACCAGAAAAGGGGGACTAAGGAGCTGCAGTGGGAAATCATACCCAAGAGAAGGATGTGGCAGTCAGAATGAAAAACACATTGATTAGGCCCCATTTTATACACCATTTTAAATTCCATAGACTAATGAAACAATTCAATTAGTTTAACTGGCATGTTGACAATTGAATTGAAAGGTTTTTAATCCTTTTAACTGAGTTCATTAGCTTATTTGGGTTGAAGCAAATAAAGGAGATCTTTGCAATCGGTTGATTACAGGGATTCAGACATTTGGTTTTGTCACGATTTTCAGCGTGAGTTGGTTGTCTAATTTCTTCTGCCCTACTAGGAAGGGCTCAGTATTATTCCATGTGGGCAGAAAGATAACTCCAAAAAGTAGGGGCATCGCTGCTTGTCATCTGGCCTTTGGATCTAGCTTCACTGTTAATCTGGAACAACATGGGTTTCTTGACCATCTATTCACTTACTTCCCTATTAGTAGAGGACCCAGCCAAGATTGGGCCCCCATTGTGTTAGGTGCTGTACAAACCCACAGTGAGAGACAGCATCTGCTCCAAAGAGCTTCCAGTCTCTGCAGGTAAGAAAGACAAAGGGTGGGAGGAGACACAGAAGCACAGGGAAGGGAAAGGTTTTGCCCAAGGTCACACAGCACACTGGTGGAAGAGCCTGGAATAAGAACTCAGATCCCCTGACTCCCAGTCCAGTGCTCTATCTGCTAGAGTGCTACCTTCAAGAAGATTCTTCTTTTGACGAAAAAGCAATTCCAAACAAAAAGAGTTTGGTATGCAAATTTTGCCACTAGAAAAGGGGGTGGGGTGAGGAGAAGGTGGGGGGGGGGAGGAGAGAGATGGGGGGAAGAACTGAAATCCCCCAAACTAAACTTTTTTGACCAGCCATACAAAATATGAGGCCAGCTAGAAAACGTGGTGGCGCAGGGCCAGAAACACAGGTCAATGGGACGGCCTCCCTACTGCTCCATTCCACAACGCTACTCTGTAGCTAGGACAGTAAGGTCAATGACCTTGGCTAATCAGCAAAGAGGACATTGACATACAGGTTTGTGGCCCCCTCAGCTCCAGCACGAGGCATGCCTGTAGTGCTCGTGACGTTAATATTTGATGTGGAACAGAGTTAGAGAATGGTTGCAACAGTGCTATAAAATGCTACGCCAGCACTGCTGCAGTGTGTCAGTTGCACAAGTCGTAGCTACCTCTGGTTTCATTGGGATAATTTGGTATCCAGGCCCAAATTTTAATTGAGCTAATACTAGAGCTGTG